TGCAATGGTCAGTTTGTCTCTGATCTCTGGGATACTAAAACCTAATGATATTGATGCAAAATGACGAAAAACTACTGGAAATCCGATTAAGATAATTAACGTATACATGTCAAAAATACGGGCCACAACTTACGTATGTTTTTATCGGAACTTTTTTATTAGGATATAACTTACATTTAATGAATTAAATATATTTAAATAAAAAATTATGCAAAATAAACGATGTGAGGATAAAGATTTTTCTATAGATATTCGCGTTTAGGAAAATATAAGCTGAAATGTATTTAAATGTTTGAAAATGTATTGTATTTGTTAATTATTTTAAATAATAAGTTATATTAGTTTAAAAAAACATCATAATATTAATTAATAATAAATAATAAAATTTAAAAAATAAAGTTACGAGTAGGTATATACAAAGTCAATGAAATCGCGATTTATTTAAAATCAACATATAAACATAAATGTTTATTTATTTATATATCATCTAATAATAATAATATTATTGATATTTAAAACGTTGATTATGACCAGAATCATTTATCCTCTGCCTTATACGCCTAATATTCGTTTAAGTGCAAAACAATATTTATATTCATTACAAGATTAAAAGTGAGAATACAAAAAAAAAAGATAAAAAAAAAATATTGGGGTTATATCAACACATCCGTGACTATACACAGCGGGTAAGAATTAAAGGTTCCTATTTACAAAAGGCCTGGGAAAGAAAAAAAAACGCGTAAATACATTATTGTTTCTTACGAACAATGTGTGATGATGAAAAAAAGTCATGAAACCTTTTTTTTTGTCACTAAATATTTTATGAATAATTTATTCACAAATACAGTTTTGTTATAAATGTATCGAAATTAATATTCACATTGAACAAGGACACATAATATAGTTGCGGAATAAAAGGGAGGTACTCGTTGATTGCTATTCTTATAATCCCAAATGAAGATTAATATAATAGAACATAGTACAATAAATTTCACACATGGAGACTTATGAAAAAATAATTGAATCATTCATTATTGTTTGACGTTGGAATATCAGGTATGTAATGCGAATGAACTAACAACAATATTTTTAATATTTATTGTAACAATCTTATCTACAACGCATAGAAATAATATAAAGCAATATAAATATATATAATATATATAAGTGAGTAAATTATTACAATTTTTATACTGTTATCAGGAATATTTTTGTACTTAAATATGAGATTCCAAAGTTGATTTGGAAGTCGATAATAGTTATTTATTAGCTATTAAGTAGATAATAATTATTAAAAAAAAATATCCCGAAATACACACGCATCGCAAGAGAACGTTATTGTAAATACGAATATTACCTATATTCTATAGAGTGCTGTGGGATTAGCTTTACATTTTAAATGTTATTAGTAATTTACAATAATGGTAAGCCAATCAAAAATTGAATGGTATTGAAATTGATATCAGTTATTTATTAGAAAATTATAAAATATGAATATAGAATTATCAGCTACAGTGTAAATACAGGCCATTATTTTCTATCAACAAAACGTTCAATTTTTTCTTAAATGTTTTCATTCTTATCGAACAGATAATAAACATGTTAGTGATAAATATTCGTCATAAATATTGTTTTTGATTACTATAACACCGATAAATAATTTTTACTTAAATAAATTTTACACTGTAAGTAGTAAATAATAAATTTGATTATAAATTTCGGATACTTTAAATATAGATTTTAGCACCGGAATTATAAATAAACAAGCTCTGATTAAAGTTCGCCGTTGATTTATAGCCTGTATCTACTAGAATGGTTAATTTTGTCAAGACAAGTCTAAATAAAATTGATATAAAATAAATAAAAAAACTTTTTATCCTTCCCAGTTTTTATATAATGACATTTCATATATTATTTAGATTTTTCTTTTTTTCTTTATTTTCTTTTATTCAAAATTTTTACAGTTCAAATTAATCTCAGCATTATCACAATAATTCGATTTATATATTAAAACATAAAAAAAATTATAAAAAAATATCATCTATTAATTCCGATCAAGGAATATTAAAAATATAATAATTATTGGAAGAAAAATAAAATACTCCAAATAAAATAAAAAGAGAAAAAAAGGTAATTAAATACTCAAATAAAAGCGCTGATCTTAAGTATTTTTTTAAAACAAAAGATTTAATAATATATACATAAAATAAAATAAAAATAAATAAAAATAATACCTCTCGGCAATAAACGCCGAGTAGCTTTACTTATTATATATAAAAAAATTGAGCTATAGATAAATTTTATAAGCATCGTTATTATTATAACAATTACTGAGTTCGAGTTGTTATTATTATTATAGAAGTTTCTTTAATCAAATAATTTTTAAATATTCCTAAAAATCAACTAATTTAATTTCAATAATTTATCAACTTTTTATCACTTATCATATAAATCTGTCGATAAAAAATTAAAATTAAATATTTTGTTAAATTCATTCATATACTTACTCGTTCATATATTTTATAACTCGAACAAATCACTGTGTTTTTAGATATATAATACTCGGACACATGGTGATCGACTGCACGTTTAAAGACTGTTATTTTCTGGATAGAATGATATTCATAATTTAATAAATTAATTGCGAAAAAAATAGTCAACTCAACTCAACTGAGTTCAAAAATATTTTTAACTTAATATTTTAGCGTTTTTATATTATTTGAACAATACGTTCAATGCAGAAAAAGTTAATAAGTAGTTAATAATAGTACATGACTCCTGAAAACAAGTTGAATAATAATATAATAAATTGTAATTAATAATAATTATGTGATGATTGATTCAATTACAGTTTTTAAATTACTTTTTTATCATTGATCACTTAAATTTGGTTTTGTAAAAATCGCCTAGGACCATTTAAATATACACACGCTACATTGTATGTTATGATGCATCACCAATTATTTAAAGGGGTTCAAACAAAACACTAAACAGTGTTGTGTATATTGTTGCCTATTTATTTAAATAACCATTATTTATTTATATTACACACGTGATTATCACATAATCTGTTTTGTTTAATTTGTAGTAAAACGTAATATCTTCTGATTTGTCACTGGGTACGATGTCAAAAGGACTTATATATTCACCACGCATGTGTTTATTACTTATTTTTTACCAACTGTTCATTGATGTTTTTTTATTTTCGGAATGTCCCTTAGACACGTACTGCAACGACTATACATCGATGTTTCGTTCGGCCGTTCGAACGAACTATTTTTTTCCGTGTTTCTCAGAGAGTTGATAAAAAACATGTTTTTTATAAAAAAAAAAAAACAGTTTTAATCGTTTAAAACATATTTATTTTAATTATTTTTTTAACCATTTTAAACATGTTTAAAGCACATTATAATCAAATTTTAAACGAAAAAAAATATTGGTATAGGTTTATTTATAATATTCCAACTAACGCAAGTGTACGTTGAGATTTTTTTATAGTAGTGATAACTGTAGACTCGATCTTGACAATTACTTATTAGTTGTTAGTCATTAGGTATATTTTAATACTATAAAAATGAATGGAATCATTTATTTACTAATAAATATTAATAAAATACATAACATTAAGTATTATATTCTAATCTCCATGCTATATAATAATATATTTTTACTATTATTGTGATTATAAGTGTTAGAATGTATCATATTTATCAAAAAGTTTAATAATCAACTAAAAATTAAAATACTGGAGTATTTCGTAGTTGAAAAACATTCATACATCATGCTATAATGATAATTTATTCTGTGGTTACACTATTTACAGCCATTTAACCGTAAAAATCTTAAATCATAAAGTAAATATCGTTTAATAACTGAACAATAAAAAATCAAATAATGAATTAACTATCGCAGAAAATTTAATAAAACTTGAAGATGGTAGATGATAGGCCAAAAATTATAGTTTTTTCTGTTTAAAACAACGGTTTTTTTTACATTGTTCAAATCAAATGTTTTAAACAATTTAAAGAAAAACGCATTTGATTAAATGAAATGATTAAAACATGGTTTAAACTACTGTTTAAAGCAGAATGTTTCAAACATCTCAACTCTGGTTTCTCATAAGTGCGACGTTCCCGAAAAAAAATCAAATCATCATCGTACACTACACAGGTATATCGGAGTCAATATCTATTTCCACCGGTGAGGGTTGTGCCGTATTGGTGTGGTTGTGCTAAAGCGCCACATCGGATGCTCTGAAATTACTTACGTGAGCTAATAGACACGACATATGTTCAATTTCGTAGAGGGGTAAGAGTGCGTATTTATACACAATTTGTAAGCATTCATAATTCGCCGTACACTGCATTACCAAATGGCTTATTATTATTTTTATATCTGGTAAGGCGATAACCGGTCACGTGCGTTTGTGCGATCGAAGTGTTTGGATTCGTACTGGATTAACTTCAGTTAATTATGCAGAGTTGATCAATTCGATTGGTGTTTCTTTATTTATTAATCATTAGGTACATAATATTTGTCATATTATATTTTTACATGCATTTTAAAGACCTAATATTGATGTAAATAACTATAACAGATTTTCAAATACCATTATTATTGTTATTTATTACTGTTAAAAAAAGTTAATTATATTTGCTTATTTAATTTATTTTAATCTTGTCCAATAGATAAAACATTACCTAATATATTATAAAAAAATAATAAATAACATGTTTTTCGATACTTTATCATATGGTGTAGTAAACCATAATTTATTTTTAACAATTTATTTTAAAAAATAATGTTTATTTGATTTATAAAGTAACAAAAATCACAACTTTTTTAAAATGTATTTATGTTACATATAATCTGGTACAATCTTTGCACAGTTTTGTTTAGATACTTATCTAAAAAAAAAAAAAACTATATTTTTTTCTTATTTGAATAAAATAAATGCTGATTTTCATCTTCATCTACGTAATTAATCTACCAATCGTCTGTTATTATTACTTATTTATTTAGTAAAAAAATTATCTTTATGCAACACTGGTTATTTGTAGTACGAGTTCATCCATCCATTGTTCGGTTGCCATCTCCACACCGACTGCGGGTGATACCAATAATCTCCGCCGCGTTGGTACTGCCATCCGTAATTCTCGCCGAACCATCTGCCCCCGGGCGGAGGTCTGGACGGCCTGGGATACTGCTGCCGATACTCGTCTCGTCCGTCACCGCGACGACGTGTGTTTTGGCAGAACACTTGACCGATGACAAGTAATGCAATAATCATCTGTGTAAGGAAATAATATCAAATCAGAAACTCAACGAAAATCGAAAAAATCCGTTGAAACGGGCATGATGGATTTGCTGATTTCAAATAGAAATTAGAAGAAAATAATTATTAACAATTTGAATTGATTATTTAAAATTAAATCTTTCACGTTTCCGACGACACTAGGAACATGGCGAGTACATATTATTACAGTAATTATTAATTTTGTAAAAACTATCAAACTCGTATAATATTAAATTTAGTTGAATAAACGAATTTTGTATTTTTTACACTTATAATGGTTATACGAACAAATATGAAAACCCATATGGATGTAGTTATCAAGCAGAAAAATCCTGTGACAAAAAATCTGATTTTATATCTTCAGAAGTTTCATTTTACAGCCATTTGGAACAATATTCAAGCAATTTATCATTTTTATTGTCATTTGATTATGTTCAAATCTAATTGACGCTTGTGTACCTTGTTTGAGTACAAAAAAAAACATTTTAAAAACGTTAAAAATGTGTATTGAAATTGTTTTATTTAATTATGTAAATATTTTAATGTTAAAGACCCTCATATTTAACACATATAAATATCTAGGTATTTGAAAAAAATCTTTATGAACTTATCGAGAGTCTTAAATTTAAATGTTGATGAAATATTTATTAATTTATTATATACGACTCGCATTATTTAAATATGCAAATTGAAAATTTTGAGATAGGAAAATCAAATGAAAAGCTTTATGATTAATCTCAATCACGGGAATATTCTTTTATAAAATATTTAACAAATTAACAAAGAGGTTTTTTTTATAGAAAAAACGTCAAATAAGCTAATTTTAGGAGTTTTCAGCGGCTAAGGTTATTTTATAGTTTTTAATGAATATAGAACTATGAAATGACTCTCCGAATCATTTAATACTCGTAAAGTCCAAGTATCCATATCCGAGTACCTATTTACTAGTGACCAGAAGAGCGACTTAAACAGAGACGGCAGTCCGGTAAACAATCAATCACTCTGCTTTGCCCATGCTCATTTGTTAATTATTTCTATTAATTAGTCAAAATGTTATTATTATATATTCAATATTAAATATATTAATGTTTTGTAATCTTTAGACTTTTAATATAACAAACGCATTGCAGTCATTTGTCAGAATTTATGTTATTTTATCGGATATCTACGAATAACTAACATTAGAAAGATTAAAAAAAAACTTGTTGGAAAATACTTACAGATAATATTGTGAAGTTCTTCATTTTGTTTAGAAGTAGCTTGAGAAATGAATTCATTTACTGAAGTACTGCGAAATGTTACTGACAATTCGACGAATACTGCTGGATTTTTATACTCATAAAATTGTGTAAAGATAACCTTGGCATTAATCAACAACAATCCAATTAAAAAAAATACAAACATTATAAAATGTGATTTTTCAGGCTTGAGTAAAATGGTGTACACCTTATAAATTAATAATAATTATACTCTGTAATTATTCACAGAGATAATAATTTTCATTTCCTGGAACCCGATAACTCCGTGTCGTATTTTATAATCGACACGGATTATCTGAGGAAATACGCAAAACGACAATAAGTAACATATTTAGTGGATTCTATTTTAAATCGAACTATAAAAGTCGATAAGAACAAATATGTGTCGTTCGTATTTGTTACAATCACGTATTACCTTTTTTAAGAAATTTTTCAATTTTTACAAAAAATGATACTCAACAACTTGGAGTATAAGTTACTTTTAGGGTAAATTTAATATTAGTAGTTTGTCAATATAGGAAAAAATTAAAAATAACAAAACCTTTAACAATAAAATATTTTTTAAGTATGCCATTTTTATCTGATGTCTAATTCAACGAAATACTCTTATTATCAAACAAGTTTATCACAGGATTAAAAAAAAAACACTATTATTGCGAAATTAATGCATTTATCGTTTGACTCGGATTTACAAATTTCTCTTCTTGTCTGTTATGGAGTGTGACCATGATATCCTAACTTAAAACTTTGTATCTTGAAATGTATGTCTAATTATTATTTACAAATATAAAGAATAACCTCAAACTATACTAAAAGGAATTGGAATAAAGATAATTTGCTACATTAAGTTTAATTATATTTTTTTAGAAATAATCAATTCTTTTCTACTTTAAATCGAAAAATATTACTAATCTAATTGATTCTTTCTAAGTAAATCGTAGAACTGATGAGATCTCTCATAATCTATTACGTTGTAGATTAACTCTGAAATTTGAAAGAGTATGATTTGTAGTAATTAATTTACCAATGACGAAAATGAAGACGATTATCGTACACTTTGTTCTAGAATTTAGACTGTGTAACGTGGTGTCTTTAAAAATCTAATAATAAAATCAAGTCATTATAATAAACTTGATGAGATAAAAAAACAGATAAAATGTCAAGGAACAAAGAATTAGGTGGGTATATACTTAAAGTACAATAATTTAAAAGTAATTTTATAATAATAATAAGCGTATCATTTTAATTCATCAAAATCTGGTAGGTACTACATTGTTCATTTTTTTAACCTCATTGACAATGATAACGCACATGGTATGATTAAAATTATTATTTTTTTTTAAAATAATTGTTGTCCCCAAGGTTTTTAAATGATACTTACGTCGTATAGTAAAAACCCTTATGAAATAGTATTTCCAAGAGATACTCTGCAAATACCCAAACAAATAAGTATTTCAAATTTTAATAAACACAACTGACGTTATAATTTCAACATATTGAAAAACATCGAGCCCACAGTATACTTTAATTGTGTTATGCATGTTTCGATTGTTATATTTATTGAACTTTCCGTGGAAAATATAATTTTAGTGATTTTATCGGTAAAGATTATAAACAAGTATATACCAAAATAATTATCTTCGTTAGGACCATTAATACTACCAAATGGTATTATTATATTATAATTTAATGATTTAATATGATTATTATACCGAATAATAAATTTTATCCTAAAAGAACCAAATTTTAGATCTCAAACTCCAACAAATAAGGTCCATTTGTTTCTCAAATTGTACCTAAAATTTTAATTAATACATAATTTTTACTATTTTCAAACTCTAAATGCCTAAGCTACAAAATTGTGTATTACTGTTAGTATCATGATAGTAATTTTCATATTTATGTCTGATCTTTTTTGTTAAAAAATGAATGCAATGTAGAAAATTCAACGAATTATTATTCAAATATTAATACAAATTAATATTTTCTTTCTCTCTGTGAATAATAAATATTGTCTTACTATAGAAATATTGTTTATTTATTTTTAACGTAAATTATAATTATTTTAACACATACATAATTTGTACATTATGAAAGTATTTTTGAGCTTTCACTAATGATTGGCACATGCATTAGTTCACTAATATACTAGTCGGTGTTTATAGTGCACTAACGGGAAATTAGATTTTTGAACTATTGTTTTATCCCCCCTTAATATATTTTACATCAATTGAAAGTATTCTAATCTTAAGTTCATTTACTAATTTTTGTTTGGTATTTGGTATATGTAGAAGTTATTTTGACATCACTATAAATACACATTCAAAGTGATTGTATTGAAAAATAGGTCACATTAATTCCGAAAATGTTTATAAAAACTGATAAGTTGATTGTGAGACCGAAAAAACTGTATAATAGTCATTTAACTGACGGATGCTGTGGGAATATTTCTCTAGCATCGTTTTGGTTTATTGTCTTGGCTTCAAAAAATTGGTTTTTGTATTCCAGCAAGTTGAATGTGGTAGAGATCGATCGTGAAGTCCATCGGCCTATATTGTACCGGTCGAGTAAATACATTAATAGGATATTATAGTTAGGTGGAGGTGGTTTACTGCTGTAATAGGACAAATCACATAGTGTTCAAATATGTAAATTTATGAAAACGGTTACATTAATGTTCTATGCGAATTGGAGTTCGTGATAAAATTTTAATATATGCCGGAGTAAAATAATATAAGACACCCCGTATCTAACTATAAAAGCTCTATAGAGAATAGGCAGTGTTTTCAGAATTAAAAATGAGCTATATTTCTTAGGTCGTATTTAGTTCTTATTTTGGAATAATCCAATCTGGACATCGAAAAGTCAACACCAACATTATATTTTAAGCTTTTTTATTCATTTACTTTCAAAGTATTTTGAGAGAAAGTGGTATAGGTAATTTTTAATTATGTCTTTGGTCTATGTGAGTATATAAGATACAATTCTCTATATTTTTGAACTATATTATTTTTTCAAAATAATTTATAATGAAAGGCTCAAAAAAGGCACACGATCACACAAATACTTGATACCAATATAAACCGAAAGAAATTTCAGCTAGAATGAATGGAATTCGTGCAAAAAAAAGTAAATTTATGATAATTATTATACTATATTTTACGCCAAATAAGTAGATAAATATAGACAATTGTTATTTATTTATTGAGTTGATTATTTTGATGGTAAAATCATCGTACACATAAATTATTCGCATTCCAAGACGGTTCATGAAACAATTAAATGCGTTCCCGTATCTAGATCATATTTGGACTGATTAATCGAGAACAATAGTTCATAACAGGGAAGAATGGAGGCACATCTTAATGGTGGCGAAAACTCTTCAGGAGTAATAAGTTACCATAATATGTTAATAAAAGAAGAAAAAGAATCGATAACGGCGTGGTTTTGTGTGCTTAGATATGCCACATGAAAACACCTAACAGTCCTTTCTTTTGGTCGTTGTATGAGTTTCACTTTCAGAGTAGCGTCCTATAAATTATATAATTTAATACTTCATTATTACATAGATCAATCTTCATAAAAGTAGATTTATGTATAAATACTTAACATTTGTTGATTGGTGGCCGGTTTTTGGTTTTTTTGGTTTTGAGACAGTCTTATTGTCCTTTATGGATTAGACTTGTCCAATAAAGGTTATGTCCGTTGATACTTTTTTCGCACTCATATTTGATTTTTCTTGTATTTTTTATTGGAGTTAAATATAAAGAAAAAAAAAATAAAGAAAAAAAACATAGCATTGTATTTCGAATAATATAACTACAGCCATTGTACCATACACGCAATGAATATAATTGCATAGAAATTTTATATGATGAAACAAACGTCTCAGACACCTTTGTACACCAGAACTTGGAAATTTCGACAGCCGTTCAAAGTAAACCGGCGCGATGTGATGATTTGGTAGTAATATTATTCATGGTCAAATATTAGGTGATAATTTATCGTAAGTACTGGTAATAATTCATGTAAATTTATTATGTAAGATAAGTATTCAATTTTTATTTTATTTTATAGCAACAACCATAAACTACGTTAGTTAACCAAAAACGGCACAAATAGTCGGCATTTTAAATAAAATGTTAAATAATAATGAAGAATTTATTAGCAAACAACAAATTAAATTAAATCTGAAATCAGTGAAAACGTAGTATACTACAGCAGTACAGCACCAGCAATATTAATATTCGTTGTTTGTTGGATCACCAATTTGTGATAACACATGATTGATAATATAACGTAATTGTTTATAAACAGTCTTATTGCGTAGTCACGCTCACTATGCGCCGCGTAGCGGTATAGTTATATGGATTATACTACTACAGTAGAGCGCGCGCATTAACCAGTACTATATAAAATGGTCATTAAGAATATATAATTTATTCAATTTTATATGTAATAACAAAATATAACAGCGAGGCAGGTGAAGAAAATTCGGATAATATCGATCCATTCTTTCATGTGTCGGAATTCAAAAGGAAACCGATTGTTACCATTAAATTATACATCGTCGCGGCAATGAGCTGCATGTATCGTGTAGCTACCGAAATGCATATAAAGAGGTCTGCAAACATTTTTTTTTTGACAGAGTAATTAGTCTACTTAGCATTTGGCTACAATATATTATTAATCAATATTTTGTTGACTTAATAGTTTATTCAGAATTTTTACTTTCATTTTTTTGTAATTCTTTCAGTTTGACTTATTCGTCAACAGGAATAATTAAAGATGAACACTTTTGCGAAGACCGACGGTAAGTAATAATATCTTATGAAACAATTATGATTGTGAACAATTTTTGTCATCGTTTTTCGTGTGCAATTTATATTTAGACTCTAAAGCCTTGAAAAACCAGTCGAGAGATATGAGTGCAGGTGAAAATTCTTACCTAAGACCTGTGAACAGACGATGGGCCAAGTATCCAGAGCAGTCGTCGTTCCCTAAAGCATTTGGTCAACGGCCGAATTATCAATCCGGAAAACCAGTAACAGTGACCGAATTACA